GAAGCACAGAGAGGTTAAGTCCCATATTTAGGTGGCCCAGCTGGGACTGAAACGCAGGCAGCTAGCATTCCCAGCGCTATTCTTGTATTGATCTGGTTTGTCTTTGTACCCGCCGGTCTTTATCCTAGAAGAGGAGAATACAAGTGTCACGGCAGAGGGGTCTGAGACCCCAACTAGCCCAGCCCTCTCAGAATTACAGATGAGAGGGAAAAACAAAGAGAGATCAAGTGAGCTACCCAAGGTTGCACAGCATGATAGCCGCTAAGCAAGGGCTGGAACCTAGACCCTGATGCCCTGTTGCCACTGAAGAATAGATGGTTAAAAGCCTTCCTGTCCCGTGAATGAAAAAGATAAAAGAATGAGTGGGCCGGGCACGGTGGCTTACGCCTGTAATTCCAGCACTTTGGGAGGCTGAGGTGGGCAGATCACGAGGTCAGGAGATCAAGACGATTCTGGCTAACACGGTGAAACCCCATCTCTACTAAAAACACAAAAAATTAGCCAGGCGTGGTGGCGGGCGTAGTCCCAGCTACTCGGGAGGCTGAGGCAGGAGAATGGCATGAACCTGGGAGGCAGAGCTTGCAGTGAGCCGAGATCGAGCCACTGCACTCCAGCCTGGGCGACAGAAGGAGACTCTGTCTCGAAGAAAAAAAAAAAAAAAATGGAATGAGTGGGTGAGTGACTGCATAATGGATAAACTTTGACGGAATGTGTCTATGTGGCTCACCCTTGGGTCTTCCTGGGGTGGCTGGGTCATGAGAACCAGGGGGTCAGAGGAAGAGGGAGATGACCAGGGTGTGCCAGTCTGGCAGGGTTGTGTGGAAGGGGGTGCCCTGCTGCTGGTGGTTATGGGGAAATCAACCTATGAAAGTATAACCAGCCTTTGAGCCCATCCTCTGGCACCTCATGGCCTTGTGTTCACACGGCTTCCTCTGTGGCCTTCTTATCATATTGCTAACAGCGCTAACTGGTGAAAGGGCTGGTGAAAGGGCGTCACTTTCAGAGAGCGCTGGGCAGTGGCTCCTCTCCCACTAGCTGTCTCCCATTATCTGGTACTGCGAGTGCCAGATAATGTCTATGACATGAATGTGCCTAGGCTCCTGCCTGGGAGGGAGAGGCTGTTTACTACTGCCCCTTGTTTTGCACACTGATCTTTGGGGGTTGCAAACACTGGCACCTGTCCTCAGGGTCAAAACCAGTGTCTACATAGCAGAGTGGTCAGGACTTTGATGAAACTCTGAGACCTGCAGGAGTGTGGCCCACCGCAAACTGGAAATGACCCAGCCCACTCCCTTGGGCCTCCC